ATATAAGGCGCCTAATCAGACCATTCGATGTTCTGCTGCTGGAGAGACCTGCTGCTCCATATCCTCCCTGCACTTTTTGCACCGCACTTTGTTTTTGCACTGGCACTTTGGGAATTTTGGAAAAAAGAAATTAAAAATTTTGTGGACCACGCTAAACCTGCCTCCATCATCTGTTCTCGGTTTCTCACTGCAATCCAGCCGCTCTACCCGTCCTGGTCACAATGACGCTGGAACTGAACAAACAGGATGAATAAATCCGTCTGTCCCCAGGTTTGATTTCCCCAAATTTAAGACTTTTTTTAAAGACCACTTAAAATTTAAGGGGTGTCAAACATTCGGCCCGGGGGCTGGATCCGGCCCTCCAAGACCTTTAATCTGGCCCTCGGCTGATTTTGTACTAAAATATTTGAATGATATTTTCTATTAAAATCTTGTTAATTTTCTGTGGTGTTTATCACAGCAGCGTCTCCAGCGTCTCTGTACGTGGCCCCTCCCACCAGAGCAGCACAAATGAAGACTTGTCTCTTTCCAAACGCTCTTAAAGGACGATCGTTTTGACTGTTGACCGTGACACCCTCATCAGAAAAATGTCCAACATGAGAAAAGTGGAGCCGAGTGCAGGATTTTACAACAAAAACTGACTTATTTCAGATTTCAGGTTGTTCATAATATTATAATATTTTGTAAAAGAGTTCATCAACTTAAAAATATTTCTGTAATAGATTTGTGTTTCTCTGCACAAATATTTAAACTTTTTATTATTTTTGGGGTTTATATGACATGAGTTTTCTGATCCGGCCTCTTTGGGATCAGAGTCGGTTGGATCTGGCCCCTGGACCAAAATGAGTTTGACGCCCCTGAATTAAAAGTGAAAATTAAGACCAACATCGCACCCACGATGCGGTCAAAAAACTCTAATACCGACCAACAAACTACGGTACTAAATCTAGAATCTAAGAGCCAGTGTGGATTAAAGCTGCACTTCCCCGAGATCCATCCAACGTCTTCCTCCTCCACTGATCGTTTACTCTTTGCCGCTGGCACCAGAAACCAAAGTATTATTGGCACATGCTCCAAATTAGACGTTCATTCCCGTTACGTGATTTCACATTGGCGTCTTTTTTTTTTCATCGCACTGCGGCCCGGTTGACTTTACAAAAAATAGGCCAATGAAATTTAAGACCTTAGTGAAATAAATAAGACTTGGACAACTTCATTTAATTAATTATTTTATTAATTTAATCAGACAAATCTTTCTTGGCCCTCAGGCTTCATGGGAAATTGGCCCAAATTACCTTGCATCAATAAAAAATTTACTTTTACCGCAAGTTTTTTTGAAATTCTACCTTTATAAAGCTCATATTTATCATTTAGTGTGTGGTTTTAAGAATCTTAGCATGAATAAAGACTGATGGTTCATTCTAACGGGTCAAACGTGCACATATTTAAATTCTTCATTGTATTGAGCACCAGTCTACGGCCTCTGCTTCGTCTGGGTTTAGATTTGTGGCCATTGATGAAAAAAGTTTGGACACTCCTGCTGTAAATGACACTTACGGACATAACCCGAGTACAGCGTTGACACGAGTATTTGTCATGGACGCAGTTTGTTTGTCTCCAAATACTGAAGGAAGTAGGCAGGGCAATATAGTTGTTTTGACTTTTGTTTGTTCGGAATGGAACATAAGATATTTTGAGAAGTAAAACAAAGCGCTGCTTCACCCGACATTTTACAACGCGACGTTCGGTGGCGACTTGGCGTTTAAATTTGAAGTTCCTGCGTTTACGTCTCGGTTCAATCATAGACATATAAACATCTTTACATGTCGACGGGTTCAACTCTAACGTCGACGTACAACTCTTACTCTGACGTATTTGTTAGACCGGATGTCGACAGTTCCTCGTGAAAGGAAACGAAGAAAGCGGGAAAGAAAACAGGAAAACGGAAAGAAAATGCGAGACTTTATTGATCCACAAGGGAAATGATTTGGACAGAGCAGCTCACACATCACGACATCTTATAACAAAGAGAAAAAAAAACAATAAATTCTAAATAAGTAGCAAAAAAGAGCAAGAGACAAGTGTCAAATAAGACATAATTCTATAAATGTAAATGCACAAGTCAAAATAAAATAGAAAAATAAGTCATAAAATCTAAAATAATAAAATATAGAATCGTACGGTGACGTGCCATCTCCAGAAAGTTACGTACTGCTGCTTTAAACATTTGATTATTTTCTAAAATTCTACGTCGCAGAAAATATGATTTGCATTAGAAACAGTTTTGAATCACTAAACTTTCCCCCCAAACCATCAGGAGCAACACCGAGCAAAAGATTAACGGAAAAACTGAGCATCGAACCTGCGACTTTTTCAATCCCCGAGCTCATTGTTGCGTAAAAACACTTCCCTTTATTGTCACTGTCCAATAAAATCACCACGAAATTAGAGCGTAGTTAGAGCGTCACAACAAAGTGCACAGGAAAAGAATAATAGTTGAAGAGTAAAAGCTGAGGAGGGTCAGATCGAAGCTTCACGTGGAAGTGGCGCCATCTGGTGGAGGTGACGTGTCGCCGCAGAAAAAAAAAGTAGAGGAGGGAAAGAGGGAGACGGAGAGACAGAGAAGAAGGACTGATGGAGGGAGAGGGAGGAGAGAGATGCAGAGAGAGACGAGGATAGAGGGAGGAGGAAGAGAAGGATGGGGGAAGGGAAGAAAGAGAGGATGGAGGAGAGAGACGGGGACTGAGAGACAAAGACAATGAAAACTTTCTCCTCTCGGTTTATTCGTTTCGTAAGATTCAAGATTCAGAGTGAGAAGAGCCTCATTTATTTGTACAGTTTGAGCAGTTCCAGCGTCAGGTCAAACGTACAGAAACAAAATGATTTTTCTGGGGACCCATATTTTAAAAGTCACAAACCTTCACGACCCAAGACAATCGACATTATTCATAAATCACCAAATAAAGTTGGATTTGAGCATTATTGAACATTAATGAGGATATTTGATTATTGACTGAGTGATTGTGTCTCCAGTGTCGGGGAGTAACAGATTACATGTACCAGAGTAATCAGAGTACAAATTGTGAGTAAATGTACTCAGTTACAGTTTCTGTTTTTTGGATTACAGTTACTTTGTTGAAATAAATGAATTACACAGCGGTATTTTCCTGTTTTCACATTTTGGGCAATATCCCCCACTTTTTTTTTTCTTTAATTCCACTCATTGCCGGACAGTAAACCAGGTCTAAACCAGGTCTAAACCAGGTCTAAACCAGGTCTAAACCAGGTCTAAACCAGGTCTAAAACCAGGTCTAAACCAGGTCTAAACCAGGTCTAAAACCAGGTCTAAACCAGGTCTAAACCAGGTCTAAACCAGGTCTAAACCAGGTCTAAAACCAGGTCTAAACCAGGTCTAAAACCAGGTAAACCAGGTCTAAACTAGGCCTAAAACCAGGTCTACACCAGGATTTAACAGGACTAAATCATGCCGCGCAGACCGTGTCTCCTCTTTTTCTATCAATAATATTTTTAATTTGGTTCAGTAAAGTCTGGGATTTTTTTTTCTTTTATCAGACAAAACTTCTTATGTGAAGATTTCCTCGTCTTTGCTTCTCTACAGAAAATCAAGTAATCCAAAGTATTCAGATTACTTTACTCACTTTAAGTAACTTAATGGATTATGTTACAAACTACATTTTGGTGTATGTAATCTGTAATCTGTAGGGGATTACATTTTAAAAGTAACACTCCCAACACTGTGTGTCTCTGAACAATTAGTTTTACTCAAGTTTTAAACAGAAAATCAGTCACTGAAGCAGCAATAAAAGGATCCATAAGTCAAATATTTGGTCGTTACAAAAAGATTAGAAATGATACAAAACATGTCTTAACATTTGAACATTTCTAGTGAGATAGTTGGGCCTGTCTGTGTTTTTGCAGCTCGTTCCAGTCCGGGAGCAGGAGGAGACGCAGCAGCAGATCAGTGTCACAAATGTAGATTACAAACCCACATGCCAAGGCCACCCAAAAAAAATAAAAAAATAAAATCTATTGCAACTCATCTGAGGGTCACGAGTGTTTGGGAAACAATGCTCTCCGGTACTAGTCACTACTAGTCTACGCGGGCGCACCTCCGAGTCCAGTCCAGTCCTGATCCTGTGTGATGCTCTGTGTAGTTTTATGTCTTTACGGGAGGCTCCTGAACACTACTGTTGTACGTGTAATAGTGTTCTAATATTCATGTGGAAGTGGCGCCATCTGGTGGAGGTGACGTGTCGCTGCAGAACAATTCCTCGGTGGGCACAGTTTAGACTAGACGTTTTTCTGACACTTTAAACGTGATTTTGAGTAAATAAAGGTGCTTTCTTTATTCCCGTCGGCCATCACATGTTTGTTGGACAGGCCCCGCTGAGTGCACTGTAATGTCTACTGTCATGTGTCTGTGTTTGTTGTGCTGTGTTGTTGCTGGTCCAGTAAGAAATATACGGTCAATATAGTCACTTTACAATAGACCAATAGAAAACAGCCTGTTTATGTGTGAGAGACACAGCAGATAATCGCTAACCAAAACTAGCTTCAAAGTCGACATATTTCCAACACTCAGCCTCACACAGGCTCCTCCCACATCACAAGTCTGAACTAATAAATGTCCTTTTAATCCAGACTCAAACCGATTGTCCTTAAAAAGAAAATAATGTCAGTGTTTGGATCTGTGTCTGTGGGTGTAAACAAACACACGTGAGTGACGTGACTCTGTGGTGTGTTCAGGGACAATACGTGACTCTGTGGTGTGTTCAGGGACAGTACGTGACTCTGTGGTGTGTTCAGGGACAGTACGTGACTCTGTGTGTGTGTGTGACTCAGGGACAGTACGTGACTCTGTGGTGTGTTCAGGGACAGTACGTGACTCTGTGGTGTGTTCAGGGACAGTACGTGACTCTGTGGTGTGTTCAGGGACAATACGGACACACACACAGACAAATGACTCCACAGATAAATACTGACGCAGAGTCACATATTTGGACATTTATCTGTCTGTAAATTGGATTAAATGAACAGAATGTAGAGAGTCTAAGCTTTATAACGAGGTATAACATGCCCACGTGAAATATCAGCCGATATGTCTCCAGGTGCCCATATCGGCCGATTATATCGGCCGGGCTCTATTCTGAATCCAGTGATCTCAGTTCAAATCTCGGTGGGACCTTCTGTGTTTTGGAAGTGAATTAAACTTGACTTGGAAACAAAAGGCTCAAATTAAACAGTTTTTTTCTTTAAACCTGAACATTTTACATCAACATATTTCATCATTTCACCTCATGTGTCGACTAAAGCTGCATCTCTTTTATTTTAGAGGTGTTCTTTTTTTATGACATTTTTTGTAGGACCACCTCACTACCAAAGGACCGGAGGAAGTTTAGATGACACACTGTTTTCTTTGGATAAAATGCAGCGTTTGTGTTTGTGTGTCTGGGCTCTGTCAGGGTTCTGCACACGACACACAACATCTTCAGAATCACCACCTGTGGAGAAACAGAGATCAGAAATGATTCAATTCAACCTGAATTCACCTGTTCACACCTGATTCACTTTCAACACACATCATCAAAAACTAAACTACAACAGCACAAAACAGGACTAAACCTGGACTAAACAGGACTAAACCTGGACTAAACCAGGACTAAACCTGGACTAAACCTGGACTAAACCTGGACTAAACCTAAATTAAACCTGGACTAAACCTGGACTAAACAGGACTAAACCAGGACTAAACCTGAACTAAACCTGGACTAAACCTGGACTAAACCTAAATTAAACCTGGACTAAACCTGGACTAAACAGGACTAAACCTGGACTAAACCTAAATTGAACCAGGACTAAACCTAAATTAAACCAGGACTAAACCTGGACTAAACCAGGACTAAACCTAAATTAAACCAGGATTAAACCTGGACTAAACCTAAATTAAACCAGGACTAAACCTGGACTAAACCAGGACTAAACCTAAATTAAACCTGGACTAAACCTGGACTAAACCTAAATTAAACCAGGACTAAACCTGGACTAAACCAGGACTAAACCTAAATTAAACCAGGATTAAACCTGGACTAAACCTAAATTAAACCAGGACTAAACCTGGACTAAACCAGGACTAAACCTAAATTAAACCTGGACTAAACCTGGACTAAACCTAAATTAAACCAGGACTAAACCTGGACTAAACCTGGACTAAACCTGGACTAAACCAGGACTAAAAACCTAAACCTAAACCTGGAAACCTGGACTAAACCAGGACTAAACCTGGACTAAACCAGGACTAAACCAGGACTAAACCAGGACTAAACCTGGACTAAACCTGGACTAAACCTGGACTAAAAAGTCTCATATTTCACTGTTTGGTGATTTGTGTTCTGATGTTGTTTCCTCGTCACAAACAGACCTGGACTTGTGTTTTGTTTCATTCACATGTTTAACACAAACTCTGCAGATTTAGGCTGAGTTCTTCTCTCAAACAGAAAACACTCTGTTCCACCTTGTGATGTCATGTGGTAATACAGGAAGTGCTCCACTGTGTTTTTAAACTCCATACTCTTTCACTAGAATCATTTTCATCATTTCAGCGCTGGAATTTCCCATCTCTACTGAAGTACAGGTAAATGGAGCTGTTCAGTTGAAAACTACCACTACATGACATCACAAGGTGGAACAGAGCATTTGGAGCTCTCATTCACAAACACAGGATCAGTGAATTGTCCTTGTTTTTTCTCTACTACAGCTCTGTTCTCATGTGCTAAAGGACTTTGGCCCAAACTCTGTCACACACAAAATAGAAACTCAAACACAACAGCAAAAAAACACAAATTTGTGATCAAATCTAACAACAAAGGATTTGAGTCGTGAGTCAAACAGGGAGAAGAGAGTCAACAGTGAGTCCAGACTGTGTGAATATAGAGACCACATACACATATACACACTGTGACCTGTGCACATGTCTTTGAAAAGACTACAGTACATATGACAGGACAAAAGTACTCTTGATGTATTTACTCTTCCAACACCATTAACTTTACTTCAGTAGAAATATTTGGGATCAAATAGTGCAAAATGTCCTTTGCAGTTTCCTGCTCTGTCACATGAATGAAAGAGCACAGAAAACACATGAGCACACTCTCACAGTTTGGATGGAAAAGTGGCTTTTGAGGGACCGTTTATCACTTTGAATGAAAACTGCATTTTGCTCAGATTCAATTTTGTTCTGGAAAACTAAAATTCTTCTGAGGATTTTGTGTGAGCTGTTTTGCAAATGTCAATTTTGAATAGAGAAGTGATGGTTAAAAGGTGTAACTAAATGTCTTGTTTGATTGTCCAGAACACAGACATCACATGCAGCAGAAGCAGTGCTGATGCACAGTTTCACTTTAATAGAGGAGACTACGGTGGCCCTCAGAGTCTAAACTTCTCTCCCATAGTCTAAAAACAACCTGGACTTTACACTGGCATCACAACATCACACTTTTGTCTTATTCTAAACATTGAAAGTAAGTATAGAGGTCAAAAAGGACGGCTTGAAGGTCAAATATAGACAGTAAAGGTCATTTAAACTCCACTCATTGTATGAGATGAAATGATTCAAATGGAAATGATCAGAGCCACCAAAGTCTCCCCAGAATCTAGAGAAACACTGTGATGTGTTTGCTAATCTGACGTCTCTTCTGTTTGTTCAGCATAAATAGAGTTGATCAGATCAATGCCGTCGTCACATTGGTAATGTGCTTTTACTGTGTGACAAAAACACAGCTGTGTGTCCCAGATTCAACAAACACACGACCAGAGTCTGAGAGTTTGGATGGAAAAGTGGCTTTTGGACGAGGAGTGATCAGTGTGAAATGTTAACGTGCATTTATCTGGGATCATCTTTTGTTGAGGAAAACTCCAACTCTGTTTGGAGTTGTGTGTGAGCTGTTTAGTAAATGTCAGTGTTCAATAGAGAAGTGTGTCAAAGTGAATCAAAAAACTGTAAGGAGCCGCTCCATGAGTCAGTTTGAGGACAGAAGGAAATGTGTGCGACTGCTCCAGGCTCAAAACAGCCACATAAAGTCACTACTCACCCCAGTGTCTCCAGTCGACAGTGACGACTCTGTTTAAGCTCCACGAGCTCCTCCACATCTGATAAACTCAGTCTGTTACCAACCAGATTCAGTTTTGTGAGATGTGAGGGGTTGGACTTCAGAGCTGAGGCCAGAGAGGAACAGCTCCTCTTTGACAAACCACAGCTCCTCAAACTGAATAAAGAAAACATGATGTGTTAAAGTCCATACAAATGTAGATTGTGTTTCTAGAGACTTTGTGAATGATCAAATAAATCCATGATAATATATCAAACTAAAAATATGAAAAGCATGAAAACTGTTCTAAATGTTGTCACAGATTTTCTGGTCCGTTTAAATCAACAGTACATTCTGTAGGAGCCATTTGTGGGTTTTCTGTTGGTTTCCTCACGTGACTGGTGTGCACACGCTTTGGCTCTGTGCACTACACTGTGGTGTCTGGGGGTGGCACAGTGGGTGTGGTGTGGCCTATATATGAGCGCGCTCACCTTTTGAGTGTAAGGCCTTGGATCATGGCGGCGGGGTGAGCACGGGGAGCAACTTTCTGTTGACCGTATTTTAACAGGAAAGATTTGCGCATAAAAGGAATCGGTGCATGGCTACGGACGGCAGCAGCGTTAAAGTAAGTGCTCTAACGCGTACGCCTACTATAACAAATAAGTACCGTGTATATGTGCATTTGTTCCGAGTTACGCGTCCACAGTGTTTAACCCCGTGTCTTAGCCTGCCGCGGCGTGTGGGATAAGCTTTGGGCTACATGCGCCGCAATACATTCCATCATGAGTTTGTTGGAGCATCATTTAAGTTGATTGTAAATCTTGATACTGAAGTCCAAATGGACCAGAACAATTGTCCAGCATTGAGCCCGGAGTCGTTCCTTGGACCGGTCCTTTTCACTTCTACTTGACTCAAATCATTTACAAGTCACA